CATGCCCTTTGCTTGTGTATGCTATCTCACTTTCTGCTTGCGTCGGGCTTTGGTGGATCTAGCATTCGCCTGATTGAAGTTGCTCAAGGCTTGAAGGATGGAAAGAGTTGTATTGCGATGACACTGGCTGAGACGCTGATGGGCCTGGATGCTTTCCATCGCCGGGAGACGACCAGATTTGCGGGGAGTCCACTACTGCTGCAGGTAATGTTTCCCACCCATTCTGACATATGTATTGCTCACATCACTCGGCCCTTAGGCTCGGTTTTTCTCACAAAACTCTTGTCTTACTTTTCTCTCATCGTACATCTCTCTATTCTTCATTCTCTCATTTTTCATCCCTCCCCAGGTATGGTTGATGGATAAATTGCAGGTTGTGGACTCTTGCCCAGCCTACTCAGCTCGCGGCTACTTCTTCCGACAACGCCTAGTTGATGCCCTTGATGAGGGATGGTGGTTCAACTGGATGTGCAATTTGTCTGCAGATCGCATCGCCTGGCGCTGCCCTTGGCTCAATCTTCCGGCAATGAGCTATAGCATGTTTCGGCAGACCAGGATCCAGTTGGTTGGTCTGACTCACTGTGTATTCTATTTTCCGTTCCGGTTCCAATGCCAGTTCGGTCATGATCAGACTTGCCCGCCAGAGGGGATAGAGTATCCAGCTGCCTTCCCAGTTCGAGGTGCACAGCTTGCCCGATATGCCACAGCATGGAGGACGAGAGAACTCCTGGCCCCCGCTCCCACTTTCAGTTATACTTTCTCTGACGAGTGCTTGGATTGGCTCAATGAAGAGGCACAAATTGGGCCCAGCTTGGCATCAGAGGCTTCGACTAGCTCTGGGAGGGGGTGTAGGAACACCTGACTTGACTATGCCCCGAATTTATTGCTTTATTAGTACTTTCAACTAGAAATAGGCTTGACTATTCTAGGATGGCATATGAAGTGCAACAATTGATACATGTATTCAACTTGGAATTGAAATACAATGCAGTTAGTATGATGCGCCGAGCCCGGTGTATGCAATGCAGATGAATGGATGCAAACATGCGAGCATAAGGATGCTAAACAAAGCATGCTCTAAAACTAACCACTAAAAGCAGGTTAGTAAAAGGAAGAAAGAAATGGGGGTTGGAAGACATGCATACACACACACACACTTATTACAACAATATGCCCTCTCAACGGAGGGTCCGAATGAATAACACAGACCAACTAATTAACTAACTAACAAGCTAATTAATTATTACATAGCCAAACTGAATAACAAGCTACAACTAATTATTACAAAACTTAATTAATTAACAAATTAACTAATTAAATTACAAAACCAAATGCTGATTAGCGAGTAAGGAAAACAGTAAACAATGATGTTCCAGCTCTGGTTGGGAGGAGAAGAGGATGCATGCTCGGTTGCCTCCCTGAAAAGCTCTTCGGTTGTACTCTTGAGGCTCTGTCTGTGGGGTGTCGTTGAGAACTAGCCGCTGGATCTCACCAAAACAGTGCCGAGGATTGCACCAGTGGCTTGCCGGCCATGAGGAGCTCCACTGCCGACCCCCCTGCCGACCAAGAGTGGGCACTGCCGGCCAAGAATGAAGGACTGCCGGCCATCTGCAAGGCACTACCGGCCACTGATGTGCTGTGATACCAAGCTGCAGCAGAGCACAAAATAGAGAAAAGAGAGGGTCTCCCAAGGGTATGTATGCATTATGCCACTCCATATCACCTCAAAACATCAAGGGAGAGGCATTGCTAGATCCAAGACCATCAATCACGCATCCCGATGCATGATGGTCAAAGATCCAACTCGTGCAAATTCAATGTAAAATGAATGCACAAAAACACATAAATGCCTAGAACTCTGTCATGGATAATCAAGAGCGTCAGCGACCGAGAATTGAGACGCGTTTCATTACTTGAAGTATGAAACGTTCCTCGTTTCTTGTGCTCAGATCTAAGACTTAATCCAAACAACAATGCAATACAAGCATGGCATACACAATGCGACTCAAGCGTGCAAACATGTAATGCAATATGAACAACCTAACAAGGCTAATGGCATGTACAATGCTAATGCATGCAACAACTAAGTATACACAATGCAAATGATGGCATGCTCAATGCAATGTAACCTAAGCATACACAATGCGAAGTATAAGGCATAGACAATGCGATGTAATGCAAGCTTGCAAACACATGGCATACACAATGCTATGAACTACATGGAAACAATCATGGCATACTCAATGCTATGAACTACATGGCATGCTCAATGCTTAATGTAAGATAGCATTCTCAATGCAAGGTGACATGGCATACATAATGCTAAGTATGATAAGCATGCAAGCAACATGCAAGTGAACATGCTAAATGGACTTAAACCAAAAGGGGTAGACCTCAGTCATGCCCAAATCAGTGGCCAAAAATGCTAAGATGAAGGCACCGAAAACACATACAAGCATGCGTGCCAATTGGCTCACCAATTAAGGTATAAAGGTGCAACTCTCAAGAACACCTAAAGAGTGAAAAATGTGGAAGTGTAACAACACTAAGTGCACTGAAATGGGGTGAGAAATGATGCCAAATCATTTAAACAACACAAGTAAAGCATGCGAAGGTCTTTAAAGCATGGAGCTATCGAAGAGGACTACAAAGGAGGCATGCAATACAAGGCACAAATGTATGAACTAAGCATGGACAGAGCTCAAATAGGTCAAAATAAGGATCTAAACATGCTGATATGAGGGCCCAAAGACCTAGGCATGCAAGCATACAAGCTAAGCCATAAACTAGGCAACAAAGCACAATACTTGAAGGCACTTAAAGCATGATTGAAGTGGGAATATAGAAATGCTATAGGCTCTGAAATGTCATGTTAAATGATGCCAAATCACATACACAACACAAATGAAACATGCAATGGTGCTCAAAGCTTGAGGCAAGCAAGAGCATTTATACTACAAGTATACAAAACATGGAACACATGGTTAAGGCAACCCAAAACAGTCCTAGAACATATTAAAATGAGTCTAAAACATGCATGGAAAGAAGCCAAAATATGCTAGCATGAAGGGCATAAGGCATGATGCATACAAGGCAAATAAGGTGGATTACACTACACCTATTAAGACCAAGCATGGGATGACTCAACCAACAAAAATCAAAGTTATGGCATGATAAAACAAGCCCAAAAACCCACTGAGATGGCATCCTAAGGACCTAAGCATAGAGGCATTCACAGTGATCCATTCATGAGGCATAAAACACCAACTCTTCAAGGCGTTGAAAGCATGACAAAGGCAAGTGTTTGACCATGAAACATGCACTAAAATAACATTTCAAATGATGCCAAAGCATTGAAATAGGCCAAGTGATACATGCTAGTGGGCTCAATGCATAAAGCTAACAAGCTAGCTTGCACTATGGCTATACAAAGCAAGTCATGCATGACCAAATCAACACAAATCAGACATTAAACATGCTAAAACATGAACAAAGTCTTCTTGATGTTAAGCCAAAAGCATGCTAACATGATATTTTAAAGCACGAGACACATTAGGCTAATTCATGGAAATGCTCTACAAGTGCATGGAGCATGCAAGGGCCAACCAAACCAAACCAAAGCAGAGTCATTACATAGAAAAACATCACCAAAAACATGCTGAAATGGACTCAAACCCAGCTATAATGACATGCTACTTCATGAAGCATACAAATCTAGTTTAAGAGATTTACACTACAAGTGTATTAACCATGCATGGAGTGACAAAACCAAGTAAAAATGGTGGCATGCCATGCTAAAATAAGCCCAAGTACAAGCTGAGATATGGCCAACATAAACTTACCAAAGGTGCTCACACATGAGTCATTCAGAGCAAGTAAACAAGACACAAAGGAGAGGGGATGACCCTCTCCTATTTAGAATACCAAAACCACCTTCCTACCACTGAAAATCCTCTGGATTTCAGTGGTAGAAAGGTCACGCAAAGGCTTCAACAAGAGCCTAAAAGGGATGGCTCAAAACAAGGCCTAACAAGGCCTAAAGGGGGGGGTAAACCACCCCCAACTAAAAAGTGACCTTAAACAAAGGTCTAAAGCATGCAAAAATAGAACTTTTTTCAGTTGAAAGAAAGGCCTAAAACAATATGCAAGGATGGCCAAAGTGAGGTACAAATAAATGCTAAAAAGGGGAATATACTCACCCTTGAAGTTCAACTTCGAAAACAGCAAGCTCTGAGGCTAAAAACCAAGTTTCAGAGCTCAAGTAACACTCCCAAGAACCTCAGCTCAAAGGTGGTGGTGTACCTCTATGTGTTGTAGTGCAAAAGTACAAGAAAAATGGACTTTAGAGCACTATTCTATGCAATACAGAGGGAGAAAATGAGAAATATATATAGAGAGAGAGAGATACAACTGCTCTAAAAAATGGCTGACCTTTGATAGAGAGGAAGGGCCTCTCCTTATATAGAAGATAAACAATGCAAATCTTGTTAAACAAGCTTGGAAAGGGGCTCATCTCCTCCATACACGTGTATGGAGGAGAGATGAGTGAAAACCAGCTGGCTCAAAAGACCTGGCGTGAAACCTGCTGAGACAAGGGTTCTGCCGGCCATCAGTGGTGGCTGGCAGTGGCTCATTGATGGCCGGCAGGCCTCATCAATGGCCGGCAGTGCACCAAGAGAATTATGCTGGAAGGACCAACACATGGTCCAAAAATGTGACAGAAAGGATACAGGGTTTGGAAAGCTCAAACCTGTGACGTTCCGCTGCGAAAGTCGAGCATTCGACGAGCAATCGAACTTGTGGCTGGATGTACCAGCAAACACAACCAAGTCTTAAGGATGGTCAAAAATAGGGTGTCTACAATAGGGGGTGATGAGCTAAAGGAGGCAACCTCCTCAAGACTGGATAAACTGGAACTGAGGATGCAGGACATGGCTGAAGCCATAAGACAACAATAGCAATGGCAATAATAACAACAACGACAGCTAACCCCACTTCCAATGCCTGTACCACCTCCAGCTCCAGGGTGTCAGACAGGGGACTGTACTGTTGCTTTAACTAGAGCATTCAAAAAGATGAAACCGCCATTGTTTCATGGAGAAATTGAGCCACTGAAGGCCGAAGCTTGGGTCTTAGGGATTGAGAAGTTGTTCGAAGTGTTCCCATGTACCGAAGCTCAGAAAGTACAACTAGCTGCCTTTACATTAGAAGATGATGCCAGGCGTTGGTGGATGTTGGTTCAAGATAAGAATAAGGATATTACTTGGGCTCACTTTCTAGAAATCTTTTATGAGAAATACTTCCCGCAATGTGTACGGGACATAAAAGTGTTTGAATTTATGGAACTCAAGTAGGGAAACAAATCAGTTACTGAATATGAGGCTCAGTTTACAGAGTTAGCCTGCTTCGTACCCCACATGGTAGATACGAACTACAAGAAAGCTAGATAATTTGAGGGAGGTTTACATGACCCAATCCTAGACAGAGTCAATGTACTTAAATTACCAACATATGTGGATGTGCTTGATAGGGCACTAATAGCAGAGGGAAATGTGGCCAACTGTAAACAGAATTTTGAATGGAAGGGCAAGAGACAAAATTTTAATAAGGGGACAACATCAACAAATAAGAAGTTGAAGTTTGGGAATTCTAGTAATTTGGGGTCAACCCAAAGTGGCAACTCAGTACCCACTTGCACCGTTTATGGAAAGAAGCACCGTGGTGTTTGTTATCTCACTACCGGGGCTTGCTACCAGTGTGGAAAGATGGGGCATATGGCGAAAGACTGTACACAGTCATGTCAGGGTAGTAACCGAGGTGCCACAAGCTCGATTGGATCAATTCACACAACAAAACCAGCTGTAACACTGTCTACCACAAGAAATGAACAAGTGCAAGGAAGAGTTTTTGCAATTGTCCCAGGGACACTCAAAATACTAAGGTAGTAGTGTCAAGTACAATCACCATTTGTAATAAACCTGCTTATGCTTTAATTGATTCAGGGTCTACACATTCGTTTGTTTTTATAGTTTTTGCACTACAACAAAAAAGGGTTTTTACGGCGTGCAATGCACGCCATAAAAACCCTTCTACGACGTGCAATGCACGTCATATTATGACCAGTCATGGAAAGTCATTCACTTTCAATGGCATGCTTTGTTCGTCGTTAAAAACTATTTAACGGCAGATTTTGTGCATCATTGTTACTTTTTTTATGACTACTTTTGCACATCGTTAATTGGTGAGACAAGTTGCGATGTCGATTGTGCGCCGTAAAATATGTAATACAACGACTTAATATGCCTGCCGTAGAATATGCAGTTTTTTTTTTTATTTTTAATTATTTTATTTTATTTTATTTTATTTTAAATTCAACAGGTTCTATTTGAGCAATTTTGTACAATCTAACAAATATTATAAACAAGCATCACAAAACATTAATCAACTACCAAAATATTATTTGAAACATCAAAAAGAAACTATATCCATAAATTATAAACATTCAACAATTGTCTATACATTCCAAACATTCGAAAGCTATATCCTTAAGTTCTAAACTATACAAAAAGTTTAAACCACCCAAAACTATGCATATCTAACTTTCTAAACATATTGACAGCTATTAGGAGATTACCTAAAACTACCAACAACAGTTCCTATAACAGTTGCAGCTGCAACTACAGCTATAGTAAATCCACTTGTTCCTATCATAGGGACGAGGGTGCCCAATGTATGTGTTAAGGCACCTAAACCCGCGTGTAGTCTGACTTTCCGTACCCCCTTTCGATAGACGAATAAGCCCTACAGTATCAGACTCCCGCGGTTCTGAATCTGATCTGACAAGTGCAATGTGAAATAGATAATCGCCAAAAAGTCCAAATTCAGCAAATCTTTTGGCAAATCGATTTTGAATAAAAAATGCCAAAAATAGACTTTGCCAGATGCATAGTCGCTATGTAAATATTTTTGGAAAATTTAGAAAACCCATGACTCGTGCCAAAGACCACGTGTCTGTCATCACCAAGATTGTCTCAGCTCAGGAACTTAGGTACGAGAGGGGAAGGTCATGAATTGAGCACCCACGCTCGCCCGATCAAAGATTGGCCTCTACTAAGCTTGATATGAATCTTATTTAGAATATATGTTCTTGTTTTGGTTATTAGGCTAGCATTACCATGTGATGCGCATGCATACAAGTATAGACTAACTTCCAAGAATTGAAACATTTAGCTCATGTTCGTTTTGAAAATTGTTTCGAATAGGTACCACTTGAAAAAAGTGATCACATATAAATATTACTCAAATTATTCCAATTCAAGCAATTAGCTTTTATCCACAAACATTCAAGAAATTATAGCATTTAAGCAATTAGCCTCATGGCAAGCATGCTAGACATGGCAACAATCACACTCCTGCGATTATGCTAAAACGAGTAAAGGCTCACCTACTACTCCAACCCAAAAACAAAACTAGTTATAAAAATACATGATTCCGACTATGCAATATGACTAATGCAACACATGTGATATGCATTTACTAGGCTCGGCTACTAATATGAAATATGAATCAATTTGATAGCATGCAGTCTAAGCATGTATTCAAAGAAGTATTTAAACTAACAATGCAAGTTAGAATGATGAACCGAGCCCCGGTGCATGCAATACAAGTGGATGCAAGGCATGAGAGATGCTAAAAGAAACATGATGCCCTAAACTAACCATCATAAGCAGTTAAATAAAAGGGAAAAAGATTTGGGGTTGGAAGACATACACATTATTACATTGCGCTCTCATAAAGGAGAGTCCGAATAGACTAACTAACTAACTAACTAACTAACTAATTAAAGCTAAGCAAATTAATTAACTATTTCAGACCCAAATGATAATTTAGCTAAACTACTTAACTAATTATTACAACAAATTAATTAACTATTCTAGCTAACTAATTATTACAAGACAAAATCAAACAACAAGTTTAACTAACTAACTATTTACGGCACTTTATAAAATTAACTAGCTACAACTAATTAAGTACAACATGAAGTAACCAAGTTAACTACTCTATTTACTCCTTCTCGGGAAACGAGGAATGCTTATGCATGTACGGACTTTCCACCCGAAAAAGTCACTGTTTCTGTTGCTAAATGCCTCTATTGCATAGTAGAACACTTGCACTGTCTTCCACCTCTAGACCAACTATGTTCTGCTTCAAAAGTACACTACTGGATTTTGCACAGGTGGCCGACATAGGGCCTACCGTCCGCTGATGATGACCTGTCGGCCACCAATAGTGGCCTATCGGCCATTGATGACTGTATTGTACTACTGCAAGAAAGAGCAAACAGACTGGGCACAACGTATTCTCAAGGCTTTGTTTGCACAATTTACCCCTCCTTATCATTTGAACAACTCAAAGGAGTAGTAAGTTTGATTCACAAACCACCAATGGATGCAATTTCATTGCATGATGGCTTATGAATCAAGTGTGCAAGTTCAATAAATGTAACAAAATACGACTCTCAAAACCACCTCACTATCATGAAGAATCAAGAGAAGTAGTTGACAATGAATCTTGAACCGCTTTCATCACTAATGAGTATGAAACGACTCAAGATTCAAGGGTTCAATTAACGTCTAATTGAACCCAAACAAAATTTTATCTTGCTTTTTTTTAGCCTCAATTTTATTACTTCATTTTAGATTACCATCCATTCTTTAATCAATTGAGTCCAAAAGTAATGATTAAGTCCTCTAATGGAAAAAGGGCTCAAACCAAGTGTTGCTTTAGGCATGAAAGAGATACCTTACCATTGGTAATGAGCCCCCAAAGGGATTAAACCATTAAGTATGACACCTCAATCTCATGCTTAAACAAACAAATAGTTTGAAACCACTTTCAAAGCGAAGCAAAAGCGAAGAAAGGAGGGAGGTTGCAGAGGTGATTAAAGGTGATCACAAGTATGGAATGCCATAAATGAATGCAACAAACTCAAATGAGGTGGTGTCTAAGGCCTAGAACACCAAACTTATGAGGACAATTACACTACAAGGATGCAAAACAAAGCTCAAATGCAACAAACACTTAAAAACAATTCTAAAACAGTCCTAAAAAGTCCTACAACATGCTGGAATTATGACAAAAATAACTAGAATAATAAGCTAAAACATGGAACATGTGTAAAACCCAAATTGTGTGTAGGATTATTTTATTGGATAGATTAGTAATTAAATTAATTTATATGGGTCATTTATTAATATCAAAGAATTAGTTATGAGATGGCATTATATTTTCTATTACTTAGATGGGTAATTTTGTAACTTTGAGAAATTAGGTTAATAAGCCCACCTATTGTGGCTTTAAGTCTTGGGAAACAAACAAAATAGAGGCTGGGAATTGCTCCATAGGCGGCTAGGGTTTGAGAAGGTAAAACAAAAATTAAAGAAAAGAAAACAAAACCAAAGTGAAGAAGGAGGATTCATAGAGTGGTGATTTTTCTTTATTCATCACTTAAGGTAAGATTTATTTTATTGTATTCTTATCTATGATTTTGGTGTTAATATATCAATAGATGATTTTATGGGCATATATGATTAAATAGATATATTGATGTAGTCTATGTTGGGGGTCTCGATTTTGCTCAATTTTAGAGTGTATTTTGCATCCCGTTTGGGTGGTTCATATTTTGAGATTGATATGTGATGGGTTAAGTTTAATGGTGGTGTATTTGTGGGATACAAGATTGACTTCAAGCAATTACAAATTTTTACATGTATATAAACAACAATAGAATAATATAGATTGAGAATTTCCGAAGCCGTGATGGCTTTGTTTTGATGCCAAATTGCGGGAGTTCCTAATAGGCAATTGGGTTAATTTATTCTATTGTTGTTACAAGAAGAGAAAGATGGGTGCACATAATAATTGTTTATGCGGTGTAATATTTTATTAGGTTTGTGAGATTGAGGTGGATCTTGGTAATTTGAGATTAGCTTGGGAAATATTATTTTAGTTATTTGAGGTAAGTAACCCTCTATCACTGTTGGTTCATTTTTATTCCTACTGAATCGTTTAAAATTATAACTATTTATTTATAGCCTTCATGTTCTCTTAAAATAAAATATGGGTCAAGTATAAAACAATATCGAATATTATTATGAAAGTTATTTGAATATTTTGTGAAACTATTCTGAAAATTGTACCAAATGTTTATTCTGAAAATATCAAATATTTTATTTAAAAGTTGTGTATTGTTTGAATTTTGAATATCACTCTAGTCTGACTATGATTTGGACCCTAGCCAATGGGGGTTATTTATTGGCACAGAAACTAGTTTCTTTTGGGGCTTTACCACCGGCCTATGTGTGGTTTTGGGCCTTGTCACGGGCTAAGTGACCGTAGTCATTAAGACTTGGGTTTTGTGAATCAAATCATTGAACCATCTGAATATCGAACAATCTGAATATCGAACCATCGATTTGAACAACGAATTACTTTGAATTATCTTGTTGGCTTTTCGTTTAAAATGTATTGTACAGTGTTTATTTTTAGCTATGAAACCACCTTACAAATAATTGTTCATTTATTGAACTGTAAAAAAAATTATATTTATTGGTTATTGTAGACACCCCATTTTTGACCGTCCTCAAGACTTGGACGTCACCGTTTGAACACTCGGTGATCATCCATGATTGTGTTCGTTTGGAGTTCCCGGAGGTCTCGGCTCGCGCGCCCTACCTCAGGATCTCCGAACTTGACCGTGTGGTGTCCGGTTTTACACCAAACACTTTTGTTTTGCCATTAGAAGGGCAGGGAATGTCTTGTGAGACACCCCCATACACCACCGGCAGTGGCTGGAGGCCACCGGCCGGTCTTTTTCTTCCATCGGCACTTTTGTTTGCCGGTCGGCACACTTTATTGCCGGTCGGCATAATATGTTGCTGGTCGG